CTTGCAGCTGTAATGCAAATAAAAACATATTCATTGCCAGGTAAATATACATGTCTTTTTATACTGCTGAAAACCACAGATTGTTTTACTTTCACTTCACTGTTATGCATCAGTATGTCTTTTTTTCATATTAGATCCCAACAGATTACGCTGAAGCTTGGGTTTGTAGCATGATAAAATGTCAAAAAGTTCAAAAGGTGAGAATGCTTTTCCAAGAACTACAGAATGCTTGCTCTGTATGAGGGACTGTTGAAGTCAGCTGAACTAGAAAGAAAAAAAATTGACCATCTAAATGCATAATAAACTCAACTTGTCTGCACTGTGTTAAAAAAAAAAATAAAGGATCCAATTACAATTTGTGTAATTAAATATTTTCTAAATGATATTTTGATAGGGATGTAAGTTTGTCAGACCTGTTCTTCTTGTAAAGTGTCCTCAAAAACAGGAATGGCTGGTGCTCAGTATCAGCAGCTATTTCTGCCTCTGCTGCATGAATGGTTTAGCATTAGATGACACATTGTGGGTTTTAACCATCATAAAAATGTTATCTAAAATAAATTTTTGAGGAAAATTAAAGAAAAAAAACAGCTTTGGACTGACATAGTGATGTCTAAAATATCATTGGAATAAATTATTTTCTAATGCAATAAGTGTATACAAGCTAAGATAAGACATCCCATTTTAAAACACCTATTAAACTAATCTTGACACTTTTTTAGAGGAAGTAAATTCTTAAAAAGAGTAGAAACATAAAATATTTTTTGCATTCTACTTTTACTGGTTAACACACAAAGAACGTGCGTTAAAAGGAAACATCTGTGGAATGCACAGAAGATGTTTGTATCAGGTAAGGCTGCTGGGTGGAAAATGGATCGGAAACCAGGCCGACCTGATGGGGGAGGATGGTGTCCTGTACCGTCTGGATCATCTGGTCCTTCTGCTCCAGAATCCAGGCTCAGGGTGTCATGTGCTGAGGTTTCAGTCAAGTCTTTCCTTCTAGAAAGGCATTAGTAGCAGACAGACACACCAAGATGTTAGTAGGGCAGAAACAATTCATCGGATTAATTGATTACTGAAATAATCCTAAACTAACTTAGTAATAGATTATTTGCTAACTGGAGTATAGAGGCTCTAAAACATTTACATAAGCGAACGGAGCAACCCACTTAGAGAAGTAATTACCGGTACACCAAAATTGTAAAGAAAAAAAAAAGGATGTTTAAACATTTTGCTTTAAAGATAAAGAAATTCTCTTTGTCTGCCAATATGCTCCACCAAAAACTCATCCAAAAGTTTTTGTTTCCCCATGTTTAAATTCTGTAAAAAAAAAAAAAGTCTTCTATAAGGAAATTTTGTTATCCGATTATAGATCAATTAATCAAAGAATTAATCGACAGATTAACCACTTAGGAAAATCATTTTTAGTTGCAGCCTTAGATATAGGCACATTTTTCAGAATACGTATCTTGAAAACACAAGGGAAACTTTTCCAGAGGGATTCTAGTCCCAGTTAGCAGAAACTAGAGATTTGCTCTTAAATAGCAAACCTAATTGTTAGCATCAGAATTAGACAAGCCACTCTCAACACTGCATTAAAGAAAACAACAAAATAAAACAAAACCTACTTTTCTCCAAGGTTTCGATTTGAATGATTGGCATGTTTAAGCTGTTGGGGAAACAGAGCATTGGCTTTAGAATAATTTCAGGGATTGGAAGCAGGACAAAAATATTTGCACCAGTATCAGACTGAACGGATCAGCTGGAAAGCCTAAAAAAGGGAGCATACCTTCAGGGGTTTGATCGCTGCTACAGGAGGCGTCCCTGGCGGGCTGTGCGTCCCCAAATCGGTGATAAAGGTGCGGTTTGCTATTTGCATGCACTCCTCCAGAGTTTTAAGGAATGTGGTGCATGTTGACTTCACCATATTTCCAGTGTCTATACCAGACTAAAACAAGACAAGTTAACACATTAGCTAAAACCTCGCACTTATGTCTATCAAAGCGCTGATTATAGATGTAGTTTGTCGATAGTCTGCTAAGAAAATCTAGACAAACAAGTACTTTTGATAAATTGTGCTTCTTGCATCCTGGACAAGTGATTGAGGGTGCAGCCCTGATGTACGCTATACAGCCATTTCACACAAACAGAGACTTCTCCAATTTCATTGGCTCAACCAAACGTTACCTGTACCTCCGCTGTTTCTCCCAACTCATCATTTTCTTTGATTTTGTTTACTTGCTGGAGAAGAAGGTCACAGTACAATCTGAGCTCCGACATCTTTGTTTTTAACGCCTCTGTGTTCTCCTGGAGCTCTGTTTTAGAGCAAGAAGAAAAACAAAAAGAAGAAAAATACAAAAAATCAGCCATCAACCGTTGAGATAGTTAGTACTTTGAGACAGCTAAGGACGTATAATAGATATCCTATTGAGTTTTGTTTCTCTATTAAAGCATGTTTACTTAAAAACGACCAATAAATGTTCCCTCTATATTTCATTGATCAAGATCATAGATTAAACCACAACAGATAGCGTTGATAATTAAATATGAATCCAATATTTAGATCACTTTTGTAGCAGTAGCATTTACTTTAGCAACTGTTGCACTTTTACTTTGGTTCACCAAATAATAATAATATATACAATGCCAAAAAATGAAAATCAACTATTCCGAAAAAGCAGAACATAAGGAAATAAAGCAAACAGAAATGAGGGCAATAAGATTTCTGCAGAGTACAATTACATTTATGCTTCATCTGTCTCAGTGTTTGTGTCTAAAGGCAATTTACCTGCTGTAGGCAGTCAGATTTATAACCCATTTATAACTGTATTTATGTGCAGGGGCGGAGCTAGATGGGGGGCCAGAGGTGGCCAATACTCTCAAGTGGAATATTCAAAATATTTACATTTTTCATATATTAACAATTACTTGACAACAAAAAACTGTGGTTAACTATGCACATCAATATACTAACATTAAAGATGATAAGTACAGAATTCATGCTCTTTTCAGAAATAGATTTTGTGTTTTATGAGGTAAAGAGAAAATTATGCGTCTCTGTAAGTCATCTAGGAGTCTTCAGTGAAATCATAGATAAATAACTATTTTAATAAAACATATTAAATCATCAATTTATGTAGATATTAGTACTTGTTAATATCAATTTTATGCAGAATGATAACTGATGAAGTAGGTAAGTAATGACAATGGAAAAGATGTTTGCCCAAAAGAATTTTATCCACTATACCTTTTATCTAGAAAGCATGGATGTTTGAATACATTTGTCTATTTCTTAGCAAAGGCTGTTGGAAAGTATAGTTTTTCTTTATTTAGAAAATATGGATTTTTGCTTGTTAATGTTCCTGTTGGAACAGTGAAGATTGACTGTGAGGTTTTGGTACCTACAGTATCTACTTTCGGCCCCCCCTCAGTGTACATTAGTTATTGCCTGGCCACCCTTATAAACATTTTCTGGCTACGCCTCTGTTTATATGTAGTGAACCTAAATGGTAACCCATATTTGTAATATGTTATGGCTATAATATGCTTGCCTACCTTTTTCTCTCTTGGTTCTGTTGTCGGTCAAACAGGCCTTGGCTGTGCCCAGTGCAACCAGCCATTTCTGCCTCTCCGCTGCATTAATGGCTCTGAGGTAAAAGTACTGCTCTCCTGGTATGATCAGGTCAACCCGTGTGGAGTCAGAGGAATGGACTGAGGCATACATTAAATAAATATGTATTTACTCAAATATTGTTTAGCTGTCAGCTAAACAAAAACAAAACATTGACACAGGGAAAAAAATAAGAGTTTACTGACCTTGGATTTCACAAACTGAAATCTTAATGCTGCCCTTGCAACCTTTCCAAGCATCTTCTTGGGAGTCATAATATGATAAAGTTCCTTCGTCAAGAACAAACCAGCGAGGCTGCCAACCTAAACACAGAGTCTTGTTAACTAGGATGGATTGCAACGATGACAAAAAATAAGTTTGATCCGCTTGTTAGTAAAGTAATTAACGTTAAATTAGCAGCAACTAATCAGTTGGTAAATCAGATTAGATTAGAATGACAGATGGGGTGGAAACTAGCACAACTTGCTAGGCTAAGCTTAGAGATTTTATAGAACAAGATCAACTCGTTAAACAGCTCACATAACAAGGGAGCCACAGTAAATGTTTTAAAATTGACTACAAAGTCCGAAAGTTGATAGCTACTGTAGCTAACGTTAGCTTGCACATCCTAAACTCAATTCAAACAGGCTACTGCTATATCGCTAGCTGCTTTTTAAAAAGCTCTAAAACCAAAACCATGTTTTTATTAAATTATGAACTCACCGCTGATATAATTGGTCCACTTATGCAGCATACCCTCCATTGTTTAATTTGGTATTTTTCCAGTTCATTACTTGTTTATCACAAGATGTGTAGCACAGCTGATTGCAGCGACTCCATTGGGCCCAGAATGTGAATTGCGACGCTACGTCCTCGGTTTTCCAGTTGGAGTACGTCACAAAGAAAGCGTAAAGTTCTTGGTGAATACAGGTCTACCAATCATTGAAGACGATGTTGGAATAATTTGGGCGTAGAGTGGAATGATTGGCGTTTAATAAAGCCAATGGAAATAAAGAAAACTACCTATAGGCGGTACTGTAAAGATTTCACCAATAATAATGGGAGGAGGGCTGACGTCAAAACCCTGGCTTGAGTCCTTAAACGTCTGCCGACGAATAAACTGGTGGCAAGGTGGCAAAGGAGGAGTTAAGATGAACAAGCCAAAAGCAAATGCTACTGCGTATGGAAGCCAGAAAGATTCTTAATTAAATCAATAATCTATGTGCAAAAAATAGCAGAGTTTTATCCAGAGTGATCTAAGTTTAGAACTAGTCTTTATCTAGGCCCAAATTTGTACAGTTCTCACCCCGCCTGGTGCGCTGGTCATTGGTTGTCAACCCAGCACACCGATTGCCTTACCGGCTGAAAAATGGTGCGCACCCTCATGCAAGAAGTTTGCCTGCCACGTAAGGTACTTCATCAAGTAACAGTTTAAACTTTTTAATTTGTACACGGTGCCAAGGTACTAGTTTCGAAAGCCTAAGGGAAAGTATCTAAATATGATGCTGTTTTTTCTTTTCTCTTTACTTTCATCACTGTTTCTTTTTGTCACTGGAGGGAAACTCCCCGAACCCGACGTGAAAATTGAAGTGATGTACAAACCTTTCATGTGTCAACGAAAATCAAAGTATGGAGACATGCTTCTTGTTCATTATGAGGGATTCTTGGAGAGCAATGGCACCATGTTCCATTCCAGGTAAAATATGGAAATAAAATTGCATGTCTAGCTGCACAATCTGCTACAGATTATGCATAATCTGCTACAGATTATGCAGCCAGATTAGATAAAAATTGTGTTTTAAAATCTGAAACAGCCTTCTATTAAAATGTACAAGGGTATGCATGTAACATGTCCCAGGCCATTTAAATGGAAGTCGTTTTTGTTTTTTATATATAACGGATTTATCCAGTTATTATTTAATATCAAATGTCTTGTGCTCAGCTCTTTTAGATTTATTTTTTTTCAACAGCCGCCAATTTGGAGATAAAAATCCAGTGTGGTTCACGCTTGGGATCCGAGAGGTGCTTAAAGGTTGGGACAAAGGTCTGCAGGACATGTGTGCTGGGGAGCGCAGGAAGCTGACTGTCCCTCCATCACTGGCATATGGCAAAGAAGGTCAAGGTAGCTCAGATTCTGTGTAAACAAAAAACAAATCTGTCCTTTCATTGTTACATTTGTCTGAATGGGTATACACCCTCTTCAATATCTCTTCACAATCTGAACTTAAATTTTAAATACACAAAGCAACAAAGAATTTGGAAGTAGCATGAGTTTAATTTGAGAACATTGATAAATAAACATCCTCATTAAGGTTTGCAAATGAAATGCAATTTTTTTTGCATCTCATCCAGCATTGTCTCTTTTTTATTATCTGCAAACTGAGTATAGTACAGCTGCAAACTTATAGGTTCATGGTGGCCCACCTAAACGTACAGGTTGGCTAAGGGGAGCCTTACTGAGAGAAGCTTGCAAGTAGTCTATGGTAACTCTGGAGGAGCTGCAGAGATCAAGGGCGGAGCTAGAAGGGGGCTACTGGGTGATTTGCTGTTCCTGAAGTAGCATATTTCATAACCCCCATATGAAACAGTTCCCCCTTTAAATAATAGAGGGTGGCAGCAGTGATACACTCTGGTGGAATGTCCAACCTCATTTGATTTTTCAGTTTTTAATATTAGCCATAAACTGACAACAAAATTGTTATAATTAGTAGGACAAAACAGAAGTCTTGCTCTTTTTAGAACTAAGTCTGTGCTTTAGGGAGAAGAAGGGAAAGTTATGTCTCTGCAGTCATTAAGTAGTCTTCTATAAAATGCTCAACCCATTCAATGTGTATATTATGCAGAATTATAAATGATTAGATTGCATAGATCTATAAATAGATAAGTGTTTCTGTTTATTAGCAAGGACTTCATTTGAAATCTATTCTATTTGTAAGTTATTTGAAAAATATGGATGTTTTGCATGCATATTCTACTGTTGGTACATTTTGTTTAGTATAGATTGGCCATGAACTGGTTTTTGCTAATATTTGAATCAGCCACCCCTCAGTGAACATTGGTTCTTGTCTGACCAACCCTGTGAAAATATTTTGACTTTGCCACTGGCAGAAATCCACAGCGAATGTGGACGATTCTATAGACAGGTGAAGCATTAGCTACGCCTTATATCTGGCCTCATATTCAGTTTTTTTTTAAAGCATCTCAAACATGTGGAAGGACTTGCTACGATCAGGTGACACCGAAGGTGAACTTTTGGGATAAATTTGACCTTTAAAGCCTATTTTGGATCAAAGCAAATTGATGTGTTAGAATGGTCTATTTAAAGTCCAGACATTAATTTTATAGAAAATATGTGAGAAGCGCTGAAAATGTCAGCACATTTGCACATCTCGTAAATAAAGAAACCAAAAGGGGACTTTTTCTATATATGTATATGTAT